TGCTGGTGTTGCTGTTGAGAGATGCTGCGAAGCGGCAGATGGAAGGTAAAGACTAGGAGCAGCAGCAGCAACAGCAGATGTAGCAGCAGCAGCAGCAACAACAGCAGCAGCAGCTATTTCTGAAGGCATTCCTACGGCAGAGGTCCACTGAGCAGCAGCAGCAACAGCAACAGCAACAGCAGCAACAGCAACAGCAGCAGCAGCAGCAAAAATAAGAAAGAGCAGCAGCAGCAACAGCAGCAATAGCAACAGCAGCAGCAGCAGCAGCAGCAGCAGCAGCAGATATTGTCTGTGGATTGAGTTGTCTTCGTCAGATTATTTATTTTTTTGTTTTTCTTTGCAGTTTCTCTTTCATGTATTTGTTTTTTGGTTAGCTGCTGTTGCTGCTGCTGCTGCTGCTGCTGCTGCTGCTGTTGCTGCTGCTGCTGCTGCTGCTGCTTTTGTTGCATTTTTTCTTTTTTTATATATTTTTGGTTTTGTCTTCACAAATACATAAAATATAAACATAAAACACAAATATACGAAAATACAAATAAATTAAATAAATAAATATTTATCTATTTATTTATATTTATTTATTTATATTTTTTATTTATATTTATCTATTTATATTTATTTTATTTATATATATTTATATTTATTTATATTTATTTATATTTATTTATTTATATTTATTTATTTGTTGCAGCAAAGTTAATAATAATAAGCAACAACTGCCCGGCTTTACGTAAATCAAAAGTAGAGTATTAAATAAATAAAACAAATAAAATAAAATAAAATAAAAAAAATAAAATAAAACTAAATAAATAAAATAAAACAAAATAAATAAATAAATAAATAAATAAAAACAAATATATTTATTTATATTTATGTTGCAGCAAAGTTAATAATAATAAGCAACAACTGCCCGGCTTTAAGAAAGTCAGAAGTAGAGTATTACGCGATGCTCGCCAAGTGTGGGGTGCACCACTACCCGGGTGGTGAGATTAGGGTTTAGGGTTTACGAGGGTTTAGGGTTTATGAGGGTTTATGAGGGTTTATGAGGGTTTAGAAGTGTTTAGGGTTTAGGGTTTATGAGGGTTTAGAAGGTTCATGAGGGTTTAGAAGGTTTACGAGGGTTTAGAAGGTTTACGAGGGTTTATGAGGGTTTAGGGTTTAGAAGGTTTAGAAGGTTTAGGGTTTAAGAGGGTTTAGAGGGTTTAGGGTTTACGAGGGTTTACGAGGGTTTAGGGTTTAGAAGGTTTATTAGGGTTTAGGGTTTGTATTATGTGGTTTCGTTTCTTTTTTTTCTTTTTTCTCTCTTTCTCTACTCATTGTGCTTCTTTTCCTTCTGCTGCTGCTACTGCTGCTGCTGCTGTTGCTGTTGCTGCTGCTGCTGCTGCTGCTGCTGCTGCTGCTGCTGCTGCAGACAACAACGAGCTGGGGACTGCATGCGGCAAGTTGTTTAGGGTTAGCTGTTTAGCTGTTACAGATCCAGGAGACAGCGACATCATTCGTTCTGTAGAGTAAACCTCTTGCTGCTGCTGCTGCTGCTGCTGCAGCTGCTGCAGCTGCTGCTACTGCAGCAGCTGCTGCAGCAGCTGCAGCAGGAGCGGGAGCAGGAGATGTAGCAGCTGGTGGTGGTTTGGTTGAGCTGCTGCTGCTGCTGCTGCAGCTGCTGCAGTCAGTGCAGCAGCAGCTGCTGTTCTTGCTGCTGCTGCTGCTGCAGCAACAGCAGCAACAGCAGCAGCAGCAGCAGCAGCAGCAGCAGCAGCAACGTTTTGTGGGGTTAAGGACCTGCATTTATTTATTGGGGTTGGAGTTTTCGTTGATTTATAAATGAAGAAAAAAATAAAAAAAATAAATAAAATAAAATAAATAAATATAAATAAAATAAATAAATATAAATAAAAATAGATAGATAAATAAATAAATAAATAGATAAATAAACATAGAGAAATAAATAAAATAAAAATAAAAAAGAAAAAAGTAAATAGATAGTAAGTAGATATATTGAGGTGTATAGGCAGCTACTATAAAAGAAACAAATACACAAAAAGAAACAAAAAAAATAAATAAAATAAATAAAATAAATAAAATAAATAAAAACAAAAAAAACTAAAATAAATAATAAATAGAGAAGAAATAAAACAAAGAAAATACAAACAAAGATCAATAAACAACAAAAAATAAAAAGAAACAAAAAAAAAATAAAAAAATAAAAAAATAAAAAAAATAAAAAAATAAATAAAAGCAGACAAAGACACAAATAAACAACGCGAGAGAAACAGAGAAACAAAACAAACAAAAACAGGAAACATATATAATATATATATACATATATATATA